GCGGTTAATGAATCTGCACATGAGAATATTAGGTATGTACATTAAACATAGTTATTTGCGTGAGGGTCGGAGGTTGGTAGAGGTTTGAATTGGATTCGAGGGGATTTGGTACGATGGATGAATGGTGGGGATGTTACGAGATGCGAGAACATGCTGAGGGTTTTAATTTATGCAAGGGATCCAAGTCAAATCAAGATTAGAAAACTGGCAAGGGTGGGAGAGAGGGAGGGGGTGGCTAGCGTAGAGGGTATATATCCAATGCATGCATGGCGTGATATTTGGGGTCACTTGAAGGAGTTACGATTGAGGGCCGGGGTACGGGAGGTCATGTTTAAATTCCTTCACAATATATTGCCTTCCGTGGAGGTTTTAGCGAATAGACGTGTACAAGTGGGTAAGGAGCGTTGTGTGTGTGGGGATCTTGACACGGCTTTCCACGCAGTGTTTTTTTGTCAGAGATTGGAAGCGGAAAGAGTGTGGTTTAGCAGAGTTATACAGATGGTGGGAGGTGAGGGAATTAGTGTCTTAAGAGCATTAAGTCTAGATGTAGGGGAGGTAGGGTTGCCGGTTCAAAGGGCAATTGGATATCTAGTCACTGACTTTGTATATACTTCATGGGCCTGCAGACACGTATCAGCAAGAGAGAGGATCAGGGCGCTGGCAGCAATTTTTTATGGTATACAGCAGAGGAATAGAGAGATTGCTGGGGGTAGATGGCTTTCGACTTTTTCAGTGGGATATTGTAATTTTCATGTTCGTAATTTATGGGCATTAGTACCATAGAGGGTAGACGTGGCTGGCCTTTTCTTGTGTGAGCGAGAGTGACGGTTGGATTCGAAATGGTGAGGAATAATGATGAAACATTGGGAAGGGGCGGTCATGTAAGGTCATGTAAGGTCTAGAATATTAATAATAATAATAATCTTTATTTACTACAAGTACATGTACATGGTATACAGTCCTAGCTGACAACAATGACATACTACTACATAGAAAGCCACTTGTTATGCTGAGCATCTCGGGCAAATTAGGTCAGTGTACCAGGATGCGACCCACACCAGTCGACTAACACCCAGGTACCATTTTACTGATGGGGAACATAGACAACAGGTGGAAAGAAACACGCCCAATGTTTCTACTCTGGCTGGGAATGGAACCCAGGCCCTCGCCGTGTGAAGCGAGAGCGTTAACCACCAGGCCACCAGAGACACCCGAGAACGAACCGGGGCTTAGAAATTTTTTTTATGTTATATTGTTTGCCAAGTGAATAGATCGAATAAAATGTACGTTAACCTCTCATAATACACATCATTTGTGTAGCAGAAACGACACATGCTATAGTAATATTGTCGTCAGTATGATGACGCCTTAAGGTTAGAATTTGAAACTATAGAGGTTCGAGCAATCCCTGGCATACGTCGGCGACCCTCGTCTCTATTAGTTATACACTGATGTACCTTAGGGTCGACATTTAAGATAACTGTATTGTTGTTGTGATACTGATAATGGATAAATGTCGAACACCGACGCAGGAGATAATCTCAAGCAATGGCCTGTCGTGTATTGCTAATAGGTGAACGTGATGGTCATATGTGTATATATCCTGTTAATGCTTGGCTTAGCTCAAGCATATTCAAAATGTATGTATTTGATGTATGGTTCTTTAAAAGGTATCAGCCTTCACATGGTTTATATAATCTGGGATATATGTATATGAACCTACTATCACAATCTTTAATTATTACATGTTTTGTATTTTTTTTCTACGTTAATGTTACTCAATGCCAGATTTAGGCTTGTTGTATAACTTCTCATGATGTATTTTTGTGCTTCAAATAGGGAAATAAGGTTTTAATGTACTGTAACTAGATCGTTTTGATACCTTACGATAGGATTTTGTTATTTGTATGGATTGTACTTGTATACATAATGTTAAATCTTTTACTTGCGGATGTGTCTTGCCCAGTGTTTATGGGGGGTTTCCATTGTGAAATGCTCTAATGTAATGTTTATTATAGGCTTTGTTTTGCCTAACATTTTAGGTCAATGTTCTGTATTTTTAAAATTTGTAGGTTGTGTGATATTTACAGTGCAACTTGTGCAAGGGTCTTATTTATCAGAGCAGTGGGGGGTTGGTGTGAGCGCTGACATAAATTGTAAGCTTTGTGTTAATGGTTTTGTTCCGTGCTGGAGCTCTGTTAGGCGCTTCCAGCACTTTGCAGGACGTATTATGGTGGTATGTCTTGGCAATTTTATTGAAGGCTTAGGTTTGCTTTTTGTTTCATTATTGTAATTTATAATGTTTTTATTCCTATGTTTATCATATCTTCTGAGTGCTTTGTGCAAGGAGGTTTTATTGTACAGTGTAACAGGAGTGTATTGTAGGTTTAGATTCTGTTAGTGCATTTTCTGAGCAGATATTATCATGCTCTTTTCATTGTTTGGTGATGGTTTACCCTTTAATACAATATGATTGTAACACTGGGGACTGATGGTGGTTGACACTAGTTCATTGTATTTCCAAGTGGCTGATTACTGTGTTCTTTTATTTATTTATATCTTGTATTGTGTCTTTTTCAATAAAAAAAAAAAAGTGTCTGTGTGAGGTAAAACCAGCTGGTGCCTTGGTGTGAGGTAAAACCAGCTGGTGTCTTTGTGTGAGGTAAAACCAGCTGGTGTCTAGGTGTGAAGAAAAACCAGCTTTTGTCTTGGTGTGAAATAAAACCAGCTTTTGTCTTGGTGTGAAATAAAACCAGCTGGTGCCTTGGTGTGAGGTAAAACCAGCTGGTGCCTTGGTGTGAGGTAAAACCAGCTGGTGCCTTGGTGTGAGGTAAAACCAGCTGGTGCCTTGGTGTGAGGTAAAACCAGCTGGTGCTTTGGTGTGAGGTAAAACCAGCTGGTGCCTTGGTGTGAGGTAAAACCAGCTGGTGCCTTGGTGTGAGGTAAAACCAGCTGGTGCCTTGGTGTGAGGTAAAACCAGCTGGTGCCTTGGTGTGAGGTAAAACCAGCTGGTGCCTTGGTGTGAGTTAAGACCAGCTGGTGTCTTGGTGTGAGTTAAGACCAGCTGGTGTCTTGGTGTGAGTTAAGACCAGCTGGTGTCTTGGTGTGAGTTAAGACCAGCTGGTGTCTCGGTGTGAGTTAAGACCAGCTGGTGTCTTGGTATAAGGTAAGGCAAGCTGGTGTCTTGGTGTGAGGTAAAACCAGCTTGTGTCTTGGTGAGAGGTAAAACCAGCTGGTGTCTTGGTGAGAGGTAAAACCAGCTGGTGTCTTGGTGAGAGGTAAAACCAGCTGGTGTCTTGGCGGGAGGTAAAACCAGCTGGTGTCTTGGCGGGAGGTAAAACCAGCTGGTGTCTTGGCGAGAGGTAAAACCAGCTGGTGTCTTGGCGAGAGGTAAAACCAGCTGGTGTCTTGGTGAGAGGTAAAACCAGCTGGTGTCTTGGCGAGAGGTAAAACCAGCTGGTGTCTTGGCGAGAGGTAAAACCAGCTGGTGTCTTGGTGAGAGGTAAAACCAGCTGGTGTCTTAGTGTGAGGTAAGGCCAGTGTTGCAAATAAGAAATTTTATATTATTATTATAATCAAAAAGAAGCGCTAAGTCACAAGGGCTATACAGCAAGAAATTTTATAAAGAACTTCAGAATGTGGTCTGTTACTATTTTTTTTTTCTTATGCAGCAAGATTTTGGATCCGAGTTATTTAAAAGGTATTTTAGAGTCTAGGGGAAATAATTTCAACTGGGAAACTCCATAGAATAATATTCAAATTTATTAAAGTATTTAAATACAATACTTTATCTTCTCTCCATAGTTAATGTAACTTAATACTTTGTACAATAAATTTACAATATACATTTAGCTCAAAATCATGGAAATATCACATTAATAGGGAAGATTAATTATTCTTCCAGTAATTAAGTCTTCACTAACATTTACGTCTTTATCTTAACAAGACTGTGTAAACTCAAACTACAAAATATACAAGATTCAACAAGACCTTTGAATCCGGAAGTAAAGGAAGTAGAAAGCAAGAGTTTGTCTGAGAAGATGTATCTCTATGGATTACTGAACTGTCCAAGAATATAAATATCAAAAGAATCTTTCAGAGCATTGCGGAACAAACTGAGTCAGTTCTAGAGTCAAATTCTCAAACCCATTCAAACTTTACACCTTAAGAGAGCCAATATACGATCAGTTGTCAAGGCTAGAGCAGGGAGCGGACTGACTACCTGCCAGTCTGTTGACCTGTCATCAGGTTGGATCATCTGACCCAAACGTCAGTCAGCCGGACATAAACAATTGAACAATTCACCGGATGGTTCCGAGACTTAAGCTCTATATACATAATCCTACCTAACAATAATAATAATAATAATAATAATAATACAGGGATAATACCATAGTATTTTTTATATATTTTAACAGATAATTACATAATGCCGAAAGTCTCTATTCTAGCTATAAACGGGGACTTTCGCGCTATAATATTAAGTGATGATCATATTCTCTTACAATAGTTAAATATCAAAGGATAACCAATCTCCAAGATATAACAACCCCTCCCCCCGTACTACAATAGGTCGCAGTAGGGAGTTTGCAAGCGTCCACAGTAATATCTCCTTTATAGTAAGCGTCCTCTTGGTAAATAAGGCATGTAGGAAGACGGAAGAATGGAGATGAAAGAACTCGATCAGCATGGTTATTTGCCAGAGGATGAGCTTCTGGAACAATGGCCACAAGAACTATCTGGAGTGGCATCCATCACAATTCGAGAATAGGAGTCTCACACATATGACTGTCAGGGTCATCCATGTGGACTTAATACTTCGTCCCATCAATGAAACGGTTTTCATAATCATACTGTCAATATAAAAGAAAATCATTAACAAAAAATATATATAAATTAGGCTTTAAGAGTACTCATCTCTTAACCAGTCTCGGCTGAGTGGTTGAGGGGAGTAGACGTGTGCTGGGGATCTGGACCTACTAATTCGCAGGCCTATCCCTTATACACGGTCCTGTGCTGGCTGACGACACCTCTGGGATCCTCTCTCGTTTTTCCAGGTTTTCCCAGTAACTTTGAGCTCCACCATGGCTGACGAGGAGTTTATCTTTGATCCCAGCTTGAAGAAAAAGAAAAAGAAGAAGACTGGGTTTAATCTTGATGCAGCCTTAGCAGATAGCAGTGGCACCCTTCCTGTTGAACCTGCACCCACTCCAGAAAATGGAGAAGTTCCTGAAGTCAAGGAGATCACACCTGAAACAGATGATATGGAAATGTTTGGAAAAAAGAAGAGTAAGAAGATGAAGAAAAAAATGTTTAATTTAGATGAGTTAAGTGAAGCATTGCCAGAGACTAAGGAAAGTGGCGTTACTTCTGGAGATGATCGGTATCCTGTCACAATTCAACCAGCTGAAGTTGATGACTTTGATCTTGACATGGACTTCAGTAAAGCCAAGAAGAAAAAGCCTAAAAAGAAAAAGGGGCTAGTTGACCTCATTGCTAAAGATGAATCTGTAATAGACAGCGATGACAAAGAATTAGAGACTGGGGATGGATGTTTAGGTAGTGAACATGATTACACGTATGATGAATTATTGGAACGTGCATTTAATCAACTCCGAGAAAAAAATCCAGAGATGGCTACAGGTGAAAAGAAAAAGTTTGTCATGAAACCACCACAGGTTGTGAGGATTGGGTCAAAGAAAACAGCTTTTGCCAACTTTGCAGAAATATGTCGGCTCCTTCACAGAATGCCCAAACATGTATTGCAGTTTCTCCTTGCTGAATTGGGTACATCAGGAAGTATTGATGGTAGTAATCAGTTGATCATCAAAGGACGATTTCAGCAAAAACAGATAGAAAATGTACTTAGGAGATACATTAAAGAATACGTAACATGCCACACATGCCGATCACCAGACACGATCCTCCAGAAGGATGCACGCCTCTATTTTCTTCAGTGTGAACAGTGTAATTCCAGGTGTTCTGTTGCTCCCATTAAGTCTGGTTTCCAGGCTGTGGCCAATAAGCAACAGAGACAGGCCATCAGAGCAAGCAAAAATTAGGTGACAACATTTAGCATAAATTATTTTTCATTATATATTTTACATTTAGACAGTTTTATATTTGTAAACAAAACTCAATCACTTCTATCTCAACAAACCTGGGTGTGGATATTTATCAGAATGTAAATTAATTTTCAAGTTTTGTATGGAATAAAGTATATTTAGGTAAAAAAAAAAAAAAAAAAAAAAAAAAACGCAGGCCTACATGTATAACATAGTAATGTGTGAGTTACCCAGGATGGACCAAGGAAGTCAACCAGAGTGATTTATCTCATTGTCATTTGTAACATTACCTAGTTTTTTTTTTTTTTTTTTTTTTTTTTTTTTTTTTTTTTTTTTTTTTTTTTTAGTAATTCTGTTTACAATCTATGGTTGGGGTAAAAGGTTGTCTTCAGCGTTCATTGTAATGTCTGCTATATTATTATTTCAGTGAGGTACATTAGGTGGCAGTAGCCTGAAATATCTCAAGTGGAAGTTATCATTTGAACCTCATGTTTAATGTGATGTATGTCAGAATTCTAATTTTATGCTCAATATTACCTACTTTCTCTCTCTCTCTCTCTCTCTCTCTATCTCTCTCTCTCTCTCTCTCTCTCTCTCTCTCTCTCTCTCCTCCCTCTCTCTCTCTCTCTCTCCTCTCTCTCTCTCTCTCTCTCTCTGTTCATCTTTGTAATTTGTGATATGGTGTAAGACCTCGCCTGTACCATCCATTATATCATTACATGTACCATATTATTAACACACATACAAGAGGTCTCTGAGTGTGTTTTTGGTGGGGTGTGTGTCGTATTGAGTGGTGGTGGTCTGGGTTGAGTATGGTTGGAGGTGTTCATTGAACTTGAGCACTTGTGTCTTGTGATCTATTTTGGACTTCTGACTTTGTAGTGAATATTTGATCTTGCATAAGCTATAAGGGAAAGATAAGCGAGGAATTCTTCTGTTGTGAGTCTTACACCAGATATCATCACTGGCAAACATGGCAACTGTCATAGAGGAACCTATTTCTGCAGGTGATGGAAATGATGATAGCTTCCAGACCTTTAAAAGTAAACAAAAGAGAAAAAGTGAGAAAGGGCTAGAGCGTCGACGTAGTCAGACTCACTTGACTCGTACACAATGTGGTACTAAACGTCCTTGGTGCACAGAGGCTGCAAGAAGTCTTCAAAGGAAGAATGTGTTAAGCTGAACTTCCCTGACAACACCCCGCTGCCTGCTAAGTGTGCATGGCTAATGGAAGCTGTAAACAAGCATCCTAACTCAAGGATCCAATTTAGGAAAAACACACACAACTTTGTGTTTGTGGAACAGAATAAAGAGCTGATCAATGATCTACTTAGTACACCTTATGGGGATATTAAGCTGCTCCGACCTCAATCAGACACTCACCACTTTAAAAAATGGGTCAGTATCATAATCTTTGGATACCCTCTCTGCATGGACCCATCCCATCTGACTCTAAGTGAGCATATCATCAAGCCTAAAAGACTTAAAGGAAAATCCCAAATTATTGCCAGTTGGGTGGGTCCTGTGCCCCTCCCCCGGAATATCTGGGTGCATGGTTTACGTTTCCTAAACATCGAAGTGTACCTACCCCCTAAACGTAGGTGTTACAAATGCCAGCACTATGGCCATGTTGCAGTAGACTGTGGAATACTACATTCTTGGTGTGGTAAGTGTGCTGGGAAACATTCCACTAGAGAATGCACAGTAGGCCCTGACAGCCCAAAATTTAAGTGTATTAACTGTAAAGAAGTTGGGGTTACAGTTTCCCACAAGGACTGCAGTCAGAACCCAAACAACCTTCGAGGTAAACCTGATAACAGTCCTTTAATGGTAACTGAGGATGGGGCCATCCAGTCTGCCACAGCCAGATCTGAGACTGAACCTCTGCAAAGTGTGCGAGAACCCCACCTCACTGCAAAGGATTCTGGTGATACCAGAATGCCATCACACACACACCAGCTGTGGAGGAGCTAGCCATCCCTGCTAGCACATATGGAACTACTGGTCTGCCACTACAGATACCTATGGCTACACCTGAATATGGGGATGAGTTTGTCATTTCTCCCAATACACACAACTACAACAGTCAGACGGACACCACACAGGTAACCTCCCTGGAAATTGGAGATGAGTCAGATGCACAGGACCTACCTGCAATGAATGATGAAACAGAGAACACTAATGTAACCATGGTACCTGTTAAGGTGATAGGTGTTAAAGAAAGCACTAACCCAGAAGTGCCATCCTCCGGAGAGGCATTGGATTCGCCTGACCTTCCTCATATTATAACAAATTTCCAGAAAAAAATTGAGCATCTTGAACAGATCCTGACAAGTTTAATAAATATATGTAATCAGGATGATGCTCTTGAGCATGGTGATGATGTCAAAAGTGCAGCAATCTCCGTTCAGCTTCCAGCAATTTGTGAGAAAGAAGCCCATAACTCTTGCCTTCAAAACTTGCCTCATAACTGGCTGCCAAAATGCCGAAAAATGCTTAAAAATAAAGGTTCTGAAGATAAAGACGTACAAACTATGCTATTTGCTCTTAAGTGTCTGCACACTGCAGTCAAAGCATAATAGTTTTACCATCTTATGAGCAAGAGATTGTAATAACTCACTACAATGGATACATTACAAATCTTTTCATGGAACATTGCTTCCATCAGGAAGCGGTTGCTGACTTACATCATATTAGTGCAACCAAGAATATTGATGTCATCTGTTTGCAGGAATGTAGATTGAAAGATGGAGCACCTCCACCAAACTTGCCTGGATATGCAGCTTATAACCTAAGGTCAACCAACTGTTGTGTGATGTATGTCAGAAAGAACTTGCCACATTCACTCCTTTCCTTGCAGAGTCGAGTTAACATGCAGTATCATGGTGTCAAAGTATATGCAGGCGATTTTTCCATAAACATTTTTAATCTCTATGCCCCAGCGAACCAGCTTCGACCTGATGCTTTACCAGATCGCATCAATAATGAACCTACCATCATTCTTGGAGATTTTAATGCCAGACATAAGAATATTGGTGGGTCTATTACAAACACCAATGGAACTAAACTAGTGAGATTGCTGAATGAGCATGATAATGTTCGAATTGTGGGCACTACTGAGCCTACTCACATATATGGTGGCATACTAGATCTGTGTCTTGGATTTAATACATCATATACGATGTATGACTCTGTCATAGTTGATGACCTTCTATCTGATCACTTCCCAAGACTAACAACTGTCAATCTTGATCACATCTCCAGCAATCAAGGAGCTAAATACAGAAGGAGGAAACTTATTCTCAAACAAGAACACAGAGACAACTTTATTAACCACTTGGATCAATGGTATAAGAATTACGAGCCCACTGGCACACAAAAATTTAATGATGATTTAATTACCACTATTGAGTGTTCTCACAGATCAAGTGGGCAGGAATAGGAAACAAAGACCCTCCACTATAAATAACAATAAAAACCAATGTAAATACTATAATGATCCACAGCTGCGCAATCTAACACATGCAGCTAGGAGGATTGGTAAAGCATACCGTGAATGTAGAACCCCAGACCTGCTCAGAACGTTCCAAGCTGCACTAACAAATGCAAGGAATAGAAAGGAAGAACTTAGGCAACAGGAATGGGAACAGTTTGTTAGTGGATTAAATAGGTCCACCCCTTTGAGGTTTGGCTTGGAAAGGTATAAATAAAATAACCAGGAAAAAGACTGGCAATGTTGCTCTATCCCTTTCCTCTTGAAAAAAAGCAAATGACCTCATAAATGACTGGTCCAAAACATCAGCATGAAAGCCTTCCATATCATATTAGAAAAAATTTAGAGAGTACTTCTGAAGAAATGTTGAAACTGATTAATTTTATGAGCCAAAATATTGATGAGAGTGATTGCCTCTTTACCGAGTATGATTAGATAATGCATTAACCAAAGGTTCGATCAACTGCTCCTGGAGAGGATGGTATAACTATGATATTCTCAGAACTCTAAGGCACGTGCCTGATTAACCCTTTGTTGGCACTGTATAATCTCAGTTACATTGAGGGCGTTCTTCCTACTTCCTGGACCAATAGTCTCATTGTGCCTATCCCTAAGCCCCAACAGCCTGATACATTTAGGCCGATCTCCTTAACTAGTTGTCTTTGCAAAACTTTTGAAAGAATGATGCTTATTAACACATTGTACTACAGAATCAGACATCAACTTTCCCCCTACCTCTATGGGTTCATGAAAGGTAAAAGTGTGCAGAACTGTATTTCCACTATTCTTACTGCACACACCTCTACTAGTTTTACCACTTTTCTTGATCTAAAATCTGCATTTGATATTGCAAACAGAACCGTTATACTACATGAACTAGCCAAAATGAATATTGGTGGTAGCTTACTCTGCTGGATAATAGGATACCTGTCAAATAGAGTATCCTCTGTCCTTTACCAAGGCTTCAGAAGTGATTCTAAAGAAATGTCTTTAGGTACACCGCAGGGAGGAGTTCTTAGTCCCATGCTATTTAATATTTTGATTAATGCTCTCCTAAATGCTCTACCTGCCTCACCTAAACATATAGCTATAAGCTATGCTGATGATATAATGATCCATACAACAGGGCATAAGAAGATGAATACCATTCTTAATGAAGTTCAAGCAATTTGTAATCGACTAGGCCTCATAATATCTTCCTCTAAAACAAAGATATTAACAAGCAAAAGACATCCCCCACCCATCTATTTGCAGGGTGAAATCATTAGCTACGTTAAAACTTACAGATATCTTGGTGTAGATGTACCCTTTAACAAATCCACTATACCACAACTAAACAAGAAATGTAAAGCTAGGCTAAATGCTCTCAAAGCTGTTGCCGGCTACAATCCCAACAATGGTGCTAATGTGAGAATCGTGAGAATGATGTACATAGCCTATGTTAGGTCCTTAATTGATTATGCTGCTCCCATGTTGATATTAGCTAGAGAAAGTTCCCACCGACCCTTGGAGTTAATGCAAAATGAAGCTCTCAAGACTATTCTTGGCTGTCCCAGATCTACAAAAGTTCTTAACATGAGGAAGGAGCTTGGTATTTCTAGTATCAGTGATAGGATTGTTGAAATTAACACTG